TCCTTGAAAGTGAAATATTGCACATCTTAAAAACATCATGCCAGTATGTATTTGAGATTAGAAACATAATTTTAAAGATGAGCTTAAAGAACTTTCTAAGCATTGCATAGTGCATTGCACATTTATGATACATGATGAAAAGTAAAGCATTATTTACATATTTGCAATGGCATGCAATCTTCAAACAGTCTTGTGTCATCACATTACACACCACAAACGTTTCAGTCCATTAAAACTGTAAACTGAAGCTTCGTTACTGGCATTTTTAGTCAAATCAAAGAGTTGCAAATGTTACAACCTGCACAAAAACTTAATTTTGCTTTTTAAAAAACACTTTATTAATTAATGAAAACTTTGAGCTGCAGCTGACATATAACACATATGACAACACTTTCTGCAGAGTTTAGGTATAAAAAGTAATATATAAAAAGGCATTTGAATTTGTAACAGTAGTAGTCCTGCTTACTTGTGCTGGTTTAGAAACTGGAAGTTCTCACTCAGGCAAAACTCCTTGAGGTCCATCACTACTGTTCCCCAGGGACTGTCTGTGATGAAGGGAATGGAGCTGCACACTGAGCAGGAGCTGCAGAGCTGCAGGTTTATGTAAGTGATGCATGGCGGTGGGCGGGTCTAATCTAATCCAGATGCATGCTGATTAAAACCCTATTGATGAGCTCTCATAACTGACAGGTCAACAATACAAGCAGGCCAACTGCAAATCAGATGTTTCATAAAGCAACACATTTAAAGAATGCATTCTTATGGGCTTCAATACACAATGAAATCAGTGGAGAGTCATTGAGATGATGCTTTTTCATCATTTTTACACCATTTTCCACAGTGACCGAGGCTCTTTGTTGTATGTAAATAAATATAAAGACATTCCTTATCTGCAGTTGGCTGCGAACACCAACAAACCACTCCCGCCACATCAAGTCTGCTTCATTTCCTTGTTGCTGCCTCTGTTGTTGACCCTCAAAACAGACTCCAATTTGAGCTCTCTGTACTGGAACTACAGGATTTCTGCTAGTTTAAGTCCCATCAAATGTCACTCGAATCATTGTTTGATTTTCAATCCATGTCAGTGTAAAGTTGGGGAATATTGGCGTTAAATGCTAATTCTAATTCAGCTACTACACTAAAAACCTTTTAGTTGACGTCTTTTACATGGTAAAGTATGTTAAATGGTGTTTGAGAGAGAAAATTGGTAACACTTTACAATAAGGACTCATTTGTTAAAATTAGTTAATGCATTAGCTAACATGAACTAACAATAAGCAGTGCATTTTCTACAGCACATTACAATGCACAGATGACTGGGTAACACTTTATTTTAAGGTGTCCGTGTTACACATGCTACACGTGCTTACTATTGTAATAACAATTAATTATGCATAATTACATGCAAGTTACCCTAATCATAACCCTAACCATATGGAAAGTACATGTAGTTAATTAATATTACTCAGCACTTAAATGTATAATTACACTGTAGCTAGGACACCTTAAAATAAAGTGTAACCAATGACTGTATTGCAAGTTACTGATTGATTTTATTTTTTAATATTAATTCATAAAATTCAACCGTTCATGTTAATTTACATTTACATTTAGTCATTTAGCAGATGCTTTAATCCCAAGCGATTTACAAATGAGGACAACGGGAAGCAATCAAAACCAACAAAAGAGCAATGATATGCAAGTGCTATAACAAGTCTCAGTTAGCTTAACACAGTAAACATAGCGCTTTTCTTTAAAATTATATAACAAAAAAATTAAAACAGATAAAATAGAAAACAACAAACAAGCAGTTAGTAAATGAATAGAGTGCAAGTCTAAAAGGTGCAAGTTTTTTTAAGAATATAATTAAAATAGAGTGTGCTAGAGTTAGAGGGTCAAATAAAGATGCAAGAGATGTGTTTTTAGGCGATTCTTGAAGATGGCTAAGGACTCAGCTGCTCGGATTGAGTTGGGCAGGTTATTCCACCAGGAGGGAACATTTAATTTAAAAGTCTGTGAAAGTGATTTTGTGCCTGAATTGGTGAAATTGTGATGAAACGATGGGTTTGTTGGAACCACAAGCAGTTCTGTCTTGGCAAGGTTGAGTTGAAGGTGATGGTCCGTCATCCAACAAGAAATGTCTGTCAGACATGCTGAGATGCGAGCAGCTATCGTCGGATCATCAGGATGGAATGAGAGGTAGAGTTGTGTGTCATCAGCATAGCAGTGATATGAAAAGCCATGTTTCTGAATGACAGAACCTAGTGATGCCATGTAGACAGAGAAGAGAAGTGGTCCAAGAACTGAGCCCTGAGGCACCCCAGTAGTTAGATGTTGCGACTTAGACACCTCACCTCTCCAAGATACCTTGAAGGACCTGAGATAATTATTAATAATTCACAGTGCATTAACGAATGTCAACAGATACAACTCTTGATTTTAAAACTGTAGTACTAAATGTTGAAATGAACAATAGCAAAGATTATTAAATACTGTAGAAGTACTCTTTATTATTAGTTCAAGTAAACCTATTTTAGTATCATTGAGATACTATTATAGTGCTTTATTACTATTTAAAATTAGTTTTTATTTTTATATTTTCTGTTTTAATTTTAGTTTTAGTAATTTTGCTGTGTTTTGTGACTTTAGCTTTTTTAAATGTCTATGTAGGTTTCATTCATTTTTATTTCAGTTTTAGTTTTAGTTATTTTAGTGCATCTAGGTAAACTAAATGAAACTGAGAAAAGTTTACAACTAGATGAAATAAAATATATTTTTTACAAAAATCTTTATAATTTATTTTATAAAATTGTTTTATGTTTTTAGTTTTAATTAACTATAATAACCTTAACTAATGCAGTCAAGTAATTTTGACAAAATAAACCTTAGTGTAAAATTTTACTAGATAATTGCACTGGTTAAAGGTGAAAATGAATTTCATTAGTGATCCAAACGAAGGCATCAGACACTGGTTTATATCTGGTAGTGGTCAGATTGGGAGCGCGGCTGTGGATGTTCAGTCAGTAGGTCAGGATTTGTGCAGATGCAGGATTACATGATGCCTGAAAAGTGCTGAGGCTCAGTATTTAGCTGCACTCTTTGTACTCCAGTGACCTACTATGAGAATCATAAACCTGTCTGTCTCACACACTGTGATGCAATGCTTATGTCTGCGTAACCTTATTACATGCAGTACTTTGTTATGAAGTGAGATACATTTTCAAAGAGTCATTACTACATGTAAATATACAAACGATTCAGCACAAATGATTATCATCACAATTACAGTGAAAAGTTGAAAGATCCACACGTTTGTATACAACCTGACTCTCATTTTCATGCTTCAATGAAAGAACAACATTTGAATGTCTGTCCATAGAGTCACATGATCAATGTCACCAATTTGATTAGTGACCTAGAAATAGTGCAGAATCTGAAATGTTTATTATTCATTGTAATCTTTATAGAAAATGCATGTTTCTTTGTTTTAAATATATGAATAAAAAATTAGTCAAAATCATAAAAACATTATATTTTCTCCCCTTTTATTATTAAATCTATAAATATAAATTATCCATCCTGCAATACTTCATTCTGGTCAATTGCAGCATTCAGCAGTCCAATATTTCTGAATAATGATCACTTTACATGGCAACAATGCATAACTGATTATTCATCTGGGCTCCCTTATATATTTGCAAGGTTATCATAATTAACTAAAACTAAAATTATAATAATAAGATACAATTTAACTGAAATAATCATTTAGTTTAACTTGATGTACTAAAATGACTAAAACTGGAATAAAAATGAATAAAAACTACTGATATATATATATATATATAAAAATAAAAATAAAACACTATTTGAAATATTTACAAATATTCACAAGTAGAAACACTATTTGAAATGAAAGCTTTAACTGAAATAAAGCGTGCGCTGAGCTAAAGATGATCACCGGTAAACTGAAGCGCACTTAACCAACTTAACCAAACGCATTCTATACGAGATAAATCAGATATACATCAAATAAACACAATATTACAAAGTACAATTGCACAAAAGGCTGCAAACGAACAGTGCGCATCTGAAGTGTCTCTGAAGGAAATAATGCATTATTTATCGGCTTTAAGATATCGGCCAAATTTTCTTATCGGGCCGATACCGATAACAGAAAAAATGAGCATTTATCGGCCGATACCGATATGGTGGCCGATATATCGTGCATCCCTAGTTTAACTTGATGTACCAAGAATAACTAAAATTGAAAAAAAAAGAAAAAAAGAATAAAAACTATATAGATATATAAAAAAAATTATACAGGGCAAAAAATGTAAAAAATCAACACAGAAAATTCATTCATATAAATACAGTATATTGTGCCCTTTTGTTATGGATTTTTTTTAGTGTGTAATTCAAAATATGAATAAAAAAACTTTCGTAGTATCTCAGTTATACTCAAATAACACTGCATAGCTGTGCTCATATTCAGTATCTCTGCAATCAATATTTCATCCCTATGTATAGTATTTATTATGATTTTGCATGAAATAAGTGGGATCATGGTCATTATCGCGGAGTAAACAAGACAAAACACGAGACCTGAGCAGCTGCACATCATCCATTACATAATCATTACAGTTCTATTCAGTGTTTGCCACAAAAGTGTCCGTTCTCACTATAGCAGTGGATTTACATAACTCACAGAGTTATATTGTGGTGTGAGGAGGATTAGAGCGCTTCCTAGAAATATGGGCCACTCGGCTCGCTCGGCTGTGAGATGTTGTTGTGAGGTGATGACCCTGTTTTGGAGTGTTACGGAACACTGACCCATTTCTGACCCAGCGCAGGTGAGAGGATTAGTGTCTAGGCCGGCCAGGAACACCTGTCTCGTTCCCCACAGGCCTTAATCCAGGAGAGGCCTCCTCAGCAACAAATTCAGACAATGTTGGCATCGTTCAGTGAGAGTGTGACACAGCGATGCCGAGCACATGTGGCCCTCAGCGCTCACACTGGTGTTTCTCTAGCAGACGCTCGCATGCGGTGTGTGAGATCAGGAGCTGTGCCGCTGTATTCTTTACTGCAGTGTCACGAGAGCGAGAGAGAGAGAGGAAATCTGACAGAGCGCTGACTCTCACTCTCACTAACACTAGCAGGAACACACACTCAAACTCTCAAACTCCATCAACACAGACACTCACAGAAACTCTCCAGAAATGGCAGCGTCAAATTTCACCTAGAAATCAAGAAGTACATACATATCATTTTGGGGTTAAGCATGACCCACGCATTTCATTGTGAGATTCACTCACCCACCACTGCAACACAATGAGTATTATTCTCTTCTAAAAATGACCCGTAGCCGTAACTGCAGCATGTAAATCAATGGCTGTGTCACTACATGGTGACGTCAGTGGAAACTTAACTGAATCCAAGAACTTTGACCTAAAACTCCACCATAAACATTCGGCAGCCAATTCCAGTCTGGCATCGCTGTGTTTGTGTGTTTGTGAGTGAGTGAGTCATCTGTACTCGTGCCAGTCCAGTTCAGGCCGTGTTTAACCTCAACACACTCGAGTACCATCAACAAAGGAGGATCAGAGGAAGTTTACGGGGAAAACTGAAATCCTCCACTACACTGTTGGCCAGTAACACAAGCCACAATGGAGTGAAAGCTGATATTCCGCTGCTCGCTGCAATCCACCGAAGTACATTATGAGTGAAGTGAACCCGGTAATCGGCTTGGCTGAGTGATGTGGGCGGATTGGCCTATAAAAGGACTTATGAGCTGGATTCATATAAACACTAGGCACATTAGGACCAGGCCGAGATAAGCTGGTTACAAACCTTCTCAAACAAAGCACGTAAGAGAAAGAGAGACGGCCTAAGAATGACAACAACGGGATTTCAATAATATCGGCCACGTTTAGAGGAAAAACCATGAAGCGGTTGGTTTTCAGGAAGCTCATCAACAAACAAACACTTCGTGATCGGTGGGAACGTGTGCAAATATATTTCCAGACGACATAGAAGATATCAAAAACATACACATAAAAACATCTGAGATGTACAATAGCAGTTCACGACTGCATTTCCCCCGCAAATACAGTGCATTTTGTGTTACGTGACACAGGGGTTTCTGACAGACCAAACACAGAAGAGAGATTTAACAGTATCAAATAGCAACGTGGTGAAATTCCGACATATGACAAAAATACATATATTTATATATAGTATGCATGGAATTGCCTTCATTGATATGGGTATATAAATATGAAATCTGTGTAAAAAAGCATTTCTAGTTTATGCAGTTTCGTAGATATTTATGACAGACATTCAAGCTCATCTGGCCTGCATTTAAACCGATGAAAAAGTACATTAATATATCATTTTTTGATAACACTTTATATATAATGCATTATAAAAGTAAGATACGTATAACATTTTTAATGCATTAATTAATGCACTTCATAATGCATCCCGTTAAAATACATTATAATGCAGCTATTCACTGAACACACCTTTAAAAAGTATAATGCATGAAAAACAATTAGAATGCATTTTAACTTTGGTTACAATTATTTATGTAAAGATATAATGCATTACAACATGCATTACAAATACCTTTATAATGCATTATACATGAAGGCTTGCAGTGTTATTGTATTGAGCCTCGTGTGTAAAGCTTCACTATTAGACTTTTGGATATACACACAAGTATTGTCATAAAATCAACAATTTACAGCAACGTGGTGGACACAGGGAATAATAATTAGTAAGTCTCTAAATGCAGTCCTCACTCAAGCCGGGATGCAGTGGTTGGGTCTTCGGGACATGATGAAGCCCCTGAGACACACGCACCTGTACGATGAAGTCCTACTTATGTGGGTTAAAAACACTCCTAAGTTCAAGTAACTGCATTTAATATAAATTTAAATTAATTAAACAATGAAATATTATTAAATTAAAAATAATTGTATATAACATGCAATTAAATGTCCAAAATCATTACATTTAGTTCACACCAGTGTTGGAATTTAACTTAAAGCAAAAAATGCCCGCAAATATATATAAAAAAATAAAAAGCCCATCAAATTTAAGATAAAGGGGCAAAAAATGCCCGTGCACAATTAAACTAAATCTATTACTGCTATCAAGATTAAAGTGAAATGTGAAAATGAAATGTGTTGATTGCTGCATTAAATTTAGATCTGCTGACGTTGCATCAGATTTATTTTTTACGTTTGATTTATTTATTTATTTTAGTTTTTTGCAGCATTGAGCATTTTAAACAATCCTATGCAATTCTGTTGAGCTTAATGGCCAAGTTCTGTTCAGTGCATGTTTGCATTATAAACAACATAAATAAAGTGCAAATAGAAGTAAGCAATTCTTTTTGCAGTATAGACAACTTCTGTGAGTTATAATCTAAAATCAGCCAGCAAACCATCTTGGACTGGTTTAGTATGTTTTTTGCATTATTCTAATAACCACCCTAGTAAAACTAATAATAATAATAATTTATTTAAAATACATTTATTTCATACTAAGTATACTTCGAACCCATTAACATATTTATTAACATATCACTTAAGACTTACTGATATAAAATTATAATTAAACTTTATTTGGAGTATTTCTTTATTGCACAATACACATTTCTTAATATTAAGCCTAAAATGTGTTTTAATATGATTATTAATAAGGATTGTTTGATCGCTGTATAATATCAGTCTTTAAATGCGAGATATTTAAAAAGTGTACCTGAGGTATACTTGCAATAGTTCCACTTTAGCGCAATCAAATATACTTCAGTATATCTTTAGTTGGACTTCAGCACAATTAAAGTGCATGAAGCACAAAATTAGTTTTTTCTAATTTAGACTTTAAATATACCAGTTTAGTAGGCTATGCCAAAAGTACAATTGCAGGGTATTTTAATTAAGCACATAAATATGTAAATGTATTTGCACTATACCTAGCACAAAATAAATGTATTTCAAATACATTTGAGTATTTTTTTCACTAGGGTAGACTTTAATTTCAGACTCACGCTCATAGACTCCCTCCCGTCTGTCAGGAAACATTGGGAAAGGGGGCGGGGCTCTCCATGACTCCTCCCCCGCACCCTCGCTGTACGGGGAGTTTTCCGGAAGCGGGGCCAAACTGAGCAGAGGCCTGTCTGGACGGGACGGCAGCGGTCGCGCATCGAACGTTCGCTCGCCACGAGGATCCGGGATACCGAAGGGAGGGCCAGGCGCAGTTTCATAATCATCCTCCTCCTCATAGTAACGACTTCCACTGGAAACAAGTCGAGTACAGTTACACACAATCAGGTTATTACAGTTTTTTTTCAACTGCTTACACACACTTTTAAAACTTTGCCTCTTTTTTTCAAAACTTTACACACAAATCCAAGAACTGCACACACAAAATGCAAAATGCCTCACATCTCTTGCAAAATGAAGCACTGCATTCAAAATATCACAAGCACATCTCAAAAGCAAACATTTGCAAACACTTTTGCCATAATATTAATTCCTGTTAGATTTGTGTGTGTTACATAGAGAATTGTGTGTTGTGTTTTGCAAAAAGTGTTTTATGAAATTGAAAACCGAGTCAAAAGCCGAGCATTAGTGAATGGTTTTGCAGATTTGGTGTGTGCTTCTGGTGTTTGAGTGTCAGCTTTCAGAAATTGTGGCAAGTAAAGATTTTGGACCCTATTTTAATGATCTAAGCGCATGATCTAAACCGCAAGGCGCAGGTGCACTTAGGGCGTGTCCAATTCCTCTTTTGCTAGTTTAGCGACGGGAAAAACGGTCTGCGCGCCCAGCGCGTGGTCTAAAAGGGTTGTCCCTATTCTCTTAATGAGTAATGGGTGTTTTTTGGGCATAACGTGCAATAAACCAATCAGAGTCTCATCTCCCATTCCCTTTCAGAGCCAGTTGCGCTCGTGCCATGGCGGATTCGCTAATTACATGCGCGAGCAAATAGGTAGCCTAATTCTGATACATGCAATGACTATCCATTATGGCATGTAGGCATTTTTATATTTATGTAGCCTACACAATAATAATCTTTTAGATTTAATTCTTTTTATTTTGAATATTTGGCATGTTTATGTGCTGCTGCGCGTCTGTGTGTGTGTAATAAGCAGAGTGTACTCGCGTTGAGGACCCGCCTATAGACGCATATTACTAACGAGGTCTTTAAATAACAAAAAATACTGCGCCATTGACTTTAGACCAGTTAGTTAATGGCGCAGTCTATTTCAGTTGCCTCAAAATAGCAACACGCCAACAATGCGCCTGAACACACCTCGTTTTCAGACCAGCACGCCCATGAGCTCACAAATGGGCGCAAATGCATTTGCTATTTAAACAACGTGTCGCTGGACGTGAAAATGATAGCTGCGTCGGGCTGAAACTAGCAAAAAACACTTGCATCACGCCGGGTGCTGCATTGCGCCCGCTGTATGATAGGGCCCTTTGTGTGTAAGCAGGTGAAAAGAACTGCAGCAGTGTATCGTCCGAGTGACCCACTCACCCCGGGGCCGGCTGCCTGTAGGGGGCGTCTGGGAGCCCGTATGAGCTGGGGGCTCTGCCTCTCAGCCCGGATCGCCGTCCACCCGCTCCCACAGGACTGTAGTCATCGTAATCAGGGGATATGTAGTCGGGGCGTCCCGGCAGGGGTTCGGGGTACTCTGGGGGGCTGTACGGCGGGCGGTACCCTCCTCTTCCAGGCAGGGGCCCCGGGCCGAAGCGCTCGTAGTAACGAGGAGAGTAAGGAGGAGGACCGAACTCATTACACAGAGCCTCATAGGCCTCTAATCAGGAGTCAGACAGAGAGAAACTGAATGAGCGTGTGAGGGTTGGGCAAAATTTTACTTAATTTAATTGGAATGATGGGAAATTAAAATTCAAAGAAAAGAACAACTAAACAGACAAAAACAACAACAAAAAAATCTTTATTTTCACCTCTGAAAAAGAGGTACACTTTAGCATACTTTTATTATGGAAATAATACACTTAGAATATACTTAAGTGTGAACTAAATGTAATGTTATGGACACTGCATGTTATTCACAATTAAATGATATATTACAGTGTAAATGCAATTAGTTTAACTTTAGAGTGTTTTTTGACCCACTTAAGTAGGACTTCAGGACATGTTTACTTGTAATTTCATAATTACTTCTATTGTCTTTGAAATGGTAAAACTTACTGCTGAATGTACTGACAAGCATTTAAAATATACTTTAATGTCATTTCTATTGAAACTTGTATTTAAATATATTTGCAATTGCATATTTGGAATGAAGTTGCAGATCAGATTAATTGCAATTTAGTACAATTAAAATATATTAACTTTAAACATAATATCAAAATATACAGTAATCCAGTGCTTTACACATGCTTTGGTATGCTAGTAAACACATCAAAATAAGTGTTCTTCTTTAAAACACAACAAAATATTATTGAAACATAATGATTTCAAATGTATTCGAAAGTAAAGCTATTAATTTGACATCATTACAAAGTGCACTTTTTAAAAGTCTTCTAAAGTGTGTTAAGAAACAGCCATGAAAGTGTCTCTCTTTAAATCACTTAAGTGGTCTTTTATTTCAATGGTATTATATTATCTGCAAGTACAGTCTTTAATAGCATACTTTTGAGATTTGAAGTATACACTACAAGTGCACATACCCTTTGTTGTGTGTGTTGTGTGTGTGTGTGTGTGTGTGTGGTGTGTGTGTGTGTGTGTGTTGTGTGTGTGTGTGTGTGTTGTGTGTATGTAGTGTGTGTGTGTGTGTTCGGTGTATGAGTTGTGTGTGTGTGTGTGTTGGCATGCAGTCCTTTTGTGTGCATTGTGTTGTGTGTGTGTGTTGTGTGTGTGTGTGTACCTTCATCTCTGCGGGGGCAGAGGGCACACTGCAGACCCCAGGCCTCACCATACAAACAGCAGCACTCAGTGAAGGTCAGCTGAGCTCCTAACAAAGGACTCTGACACACTAGACTAGCTGTGACGTGACGCCAACAGAAGTTTAAGTTCTCATCTGAGAAAAACACAGACAGACAGACAACAAATAAACTTTAAAAAGGACCTAAAGTTGTCATTTTACACATCGCGACTATTGTTTTTTCCATTCTTAAAGGGACAGTTCACCAAAAAATGTAATTCTGTCATTAATTACTCACTCTTATGTCATTCGGAACTTATAAGGGTTTCATTTATCTTTAAAACACAAATTAAGATATTTTTTAAATAAACTTCCGCAAGAGGTTTGTTCTTGCATGCCATTCAAGTGTTCGAGCTTCTGCTGACCATATTTAAATGTGTGTTGGTGAATATGTGAATAAAAACCTACATTAAATCTGTTTAAACTGATTGATTACGGGGTCTTTATGAACTTTTTTTAAACTGTGAATTTTTGGTGAATTGGACTTTCAGTGGAGGGACAGAAATCTTTCATTCAAAATATCTTAATTTGTGTTTTAAAAAAAAATGTGTTTGGAATGATA